AAAAAAAAAAAAAAAAGTCCAGAGAATTTTAGCACTGCCACCTCTGTTGCCTTGCCTCTCAATATTTAAGCCAAAAATCTGATTCAGTTACTGCAGAACCTCTAACTTTAGCAAGGTGTACCACCATTACTAAAAGTAAGAAATAACTAAAAACTAAAGAACCTCAGCAGACAGCAGTAGCTCATGCCTGTAATCCCAGCACTTTGGGAGGCTGAGGTGGGAGAACTGCTTGAGCCTGGCAGGCTGAAGCTGCAGTGAGCTGTGAGTGATCGGCCATTTTAATTTCACTGCTTATATGAAAAAAAAAAAAAAAGGTTAAGTCAAAGGCTGATGAACTGAGATGTTTTCTTACTAGACCCATTTAAAGAGATACACTAATGGCCAAGACAATCCTAAGCAAAAAGAACAAAGCTGGAGGCATTGCACTACCTGACTTCAAACTATACTACAAGGCTACAGTAACCAAAATAGCATGATATAGGTAGCAAAAGAGACATACAGACCAAGGGAACAGAACAGAGACCTCAGAAATAACACCACACATCTACAATCATCTCTGATCTTCAACAAACCTGACAAAAACAAGCAATGGGAAAAGCATTCTTTGTTTAAGAAATGGTGCTCAGAAAATTGGTTAGCTGGACTCCTTCCTTATACAAAAATTAAGTCAAGATGGATGAAAGACTTAAATATAGAATCCAAAACCATAAAAATCCTAGAAGAAAACCTAAGCAATACCATTCAGGACAAAGGCATGGGCAAAGATTTCATGACAAAAATGCCAAAAGCAACTGCAACAAAAGCTAAAATGATAAATGGGATCTATTTAAACTGAAGAGCTTCTGAACAGCAAAAGAAACTATTATCACAGTGAACAGACAACCTATGGAATGGGAAACATTTTTTTGCAATCTACCCACTAACAAAGGTCCAATATTCAGAATCTACAAGGAACTTAAACAAATTTATAAGAAAAAAACAACCCCATCAAAAAGTGGGCAAAGGATATGGACAGACACTTCTCAAAAAACGACATTTATGTGGCCAACAAACATATGAAAAAAAGCTCAACATCATTGATCATTAGAGAAATGCAAATCAAAACCACAATGAGATACCATCTCATACCAGTCAGAATGGTGATTATTAAAAAGTCAAGAAACAACAGATGCTGGCAAGGCTGGAGAAATAGGAACGCTTTTATACTGTAGGTAGGAATGTAAATTAGTTCAGCCATCGTGGAAGAGTGTGGTGATTCCTCAAGGATCTAGAACCAGAAATACGATTTGACCCAGCAATCCCATTACTCGGTATATACCCAAAGGAATACAAATCATTCTGCTATAAAGACGCATGCATACTTATGTTTACCGCAGCACTGTTGACAATAGCAAAGACATGGTACCAACCCAAATGCCCATCAATGACAGACTAGATAAAAGAAAATGTGTTGCATATACACCATGGAATACTATGCAGGCATAAAAAGGATGAGATTACATCCTTTGCGGCGACATGGATGAAGCTGGAAGCCATCATCCTCAGTAAACTAACACAGGAACAGAAAACCAAATACCACATGCTCTCATGCATAACTGGGAGTTGAACAATAAGAACACATGGACCAGAGGGAGGGGAACCACATACACCCAGGCCTGCTGGTGGGGGGTAGGTAAGGGGAGGGAGAGCATCAGGACAAATAGCTAATGCATGTGCGGCTTAAAACCAAGGTGATGGTTTGATAGGTACAGCAAACCACCATGGCACACATTTATCTATGTAACAAACCTACACATTCTGCACATGTATCCTGGAACCTAAAGTAAAATAAAAATTAAAGAAAAAAAAAAAAAAAAGAGATACACTGAAAAAGCTGAACTTGCATAGTCAGGGTAGCAATGGAGATAATGCGCATTCCTCTAAAAGGTCCAGTGATCCAATTAATCTGAGGTGTCTGCAGCGCTGTGAAAGCTCTGTGAAGGTAACACAGAAGACCGGGCAGTATCAAGCATGACACCACCAGGAGCATACCTGGAGTCATCTTTAGTGCCCTCCTCCAAAAGACATCCCTCACACCACCACAGGCTACACAGTTTTAGATAACAAGATGAAACTATACAGTCTTGGGAGAGTATGTGAATAAAGTTTATTTCCAGGGCAGAGATATACAGGGAATCATTCCCTAAGCTTCAGCCACAGGACATCAAGTCTCAAACAAGTAATAAGCCTTCCTAATTTTTCTGTTTTTAGATGGAGTCTCGCTCTGTCACCCAGGCTAGAGTGCAGTGGCATGATCTCAGCTCACTGCAACCTCTGCCTCCTGGGTTCAAGAGATTCTCAAGCCTCAGCCTCCCGAGTAGCTGGGATTACAAGCGAGCACCACCATGCCCAGCTAATATTTTTTGTATTTTTAGTGGAGATGAGGTTTCACTATGTTGGCTAAGCTGATCTGGAACTCCTGGGCTCAAGTGATCCACATGCCTTGGCCTCCCAAAGTGCTGGGATTACAGGCGTGAGCCACCACGCCTGGCCAATTACGTTGTTTTAAAGTTACTAATGCACACATATTATTGACCAACACTTAGAAAAAAACTGCATGGCCTGCTACAGGCCAGAGGTCAGCTATATTTCCAGAGACAAAGACATTTTGCCTTAGTTGCTCAGTACAACTTACAACTGTGAGATCCACTCAGAATACATTCTTGTAAAAATATTTTGCATTATTTCAAAAACTCATAAGAAAAAGTCAGGATGTACAATAATAGAGATAGCCAATACAACTGTCATGTATTGCAAAGTTTGAAACATTTATATTTTTAAAATGTAAAGTAAAATTTCACTATAAAACATGGAAAGAATCCCAGCACTTTGGGAGGCCGAGGCGGGTGGATCACGAGGTCAGGAGATCGAGACCATCCTGGTCAACATGGTGACACCCTGTCTCTACTAAAAACTACGAAAAATTAGCTGGGCATGGTGGCACGTGCCTGTAATCCCAGCTACTCAGGAGGCTGAGGCAGGAGAATTGCCTGAACCCAGGAGGCG